GTTTGATAGTAGCGTCTGAGTCGAATTTTAGTGTGTATCGGTATCTGTTTTCGTCGAGTGCTTTTTGGTATAGTGCAGTTATTTGGTCAAATGATGCTTTGTCGGATGATAGTGAAGATAGACGTTTGTTGATGGCGTCGGGTATGTTCTTCCTTATGGTTGGTGGATGGTTGCTTTCGCTGTGGATGTATTGCAGAGAAGTGTTGGGTTTTGTGTAAGGGCGATATGAAAAATTGTTAAGATTGAAGGTGATGTCAAGGAAGTCGATGATTTTTTTGTTTGTTTCAATAGTTATGCGTAGTCCATTGTTGTTGAATATCCGGCATATTTCCTTTTTAATGTTCTCTGTTTCTCGTGGTGTGGTGTTTGAAATGGCAAGTCCGTCGTCTCGATAAAGTCCTATGTCTGTTGTGATGTTTTTTAGTTGAGAAAGGAGGTAGCTTCCTACGAGTTCGCATGTCTCAGCTCCGTCGAAGCTACCCAATGGTACGTCGAATGTTGAGTTATATTTCTTTTGCCAGGGTTGTTGGTTGTGTATAAGGAATGAATTCTTAGCGTGTATAATGATGTTTTTTTCGGCGTTTGTGATGTTGTCGTAGGTTGAGGCAAAATCCAGTGCTTTGTTTAGTAGGTCTTGATTAATGGATGGATAAAAGTCTACGATGTCGAAGGATATGAAGGTGACGATTTTTTTGTGTTTGATAGATTTGAACCACTGGATCACAGATAATGAGTTTTTCCATTGGTTGTATGAGGTTGTTTTTACGATGTTGCTGTTAATTCTGTCCAGTATTTTCTTGCTGATTTTACCAACTTCAGATTTGTTGGGTTGATAAATCGGCAGGTTGGTTTATTCGTAAAGTTTGGTTTATGGTCTTTGAGTGTTATGAATGCATTTTTATGGGCAGTGGCTTCTATTCTGTCAGATATACCCAGTCGTGATGTGATATTTTTGTCTTCGGTGTGGGTGGCTTTTATTGTTTCGGCGTTTGATTTCTTGTATGATTTGTGATGTTTTGTTCAAGGAGGTCGTAGTATGCTGGCTTGTCTAGTTTGTAGAAATTTGTTGTTTTGTCAGCAGTGATTAGTAGCTTCGTTTCGTGTTTCATGGTAGTGGTGTGGTCTTTCATTTTGTTAAGATTGTGCTGTTCACGTCTTTAAACTTTATCGATTGTATCATTTTCGTCATGTCCTTCTCGAAATCTTTTAGGTCGTCGATAGGTGGAGGGTTTTTAGTACTCTTGAAGCCATAGGTATCTTTATAATCGATGGTAGTATTCGGGTTAAGGAAGAAGTAAGCTTTCCAGCGCATATTACGAAGGGAGGTCTCAGACTTTTCAATAAGTCGTTGTAAGTACTCATTCGGTGTTTGTAGAGGAATGTTCTTGATGCAGTAGTTGAAGTTGAATTTCTCCATTGCGGATTATCGTAGAGTGCTCAACAAAAATTTATCTTGGAGCGTAATAGGATCAAAATAACAAAATCAATACAAAATCAAAAATAACAAAATCATACAAGAAATCAAACGCCGACACAATAAAAGCCATCCACACCGAAGACAAAAATATCACATCACGACTGGGTATATCTGACAGAGTAGAAGCCACTGCCCATAAAAATTCATTCATAACACTCAAAGACCATAAACCAAACTTTACGAATAAACCAACCTGCCGATTTATCAACCCAACAAATCTGAAGTTGGTAAAATCAGCAAGAAAATACTGGACAGAATTAACAGCAACATCGTAAAAACAACCTCATACAACCAATGGAAAAACTCATCATCTGTGATCCAGTGGTTCAAATCTATCAAACACAAAAAAAACGTCACCTTCATATCCTTCGACATCGTAGACTTTTATCCATCCATTAATCAAGACCTACTAAACAAAGCACTGGATTTTGCCTCAACCTACGACAACATCACAAACGCCGAAAAAAACATCATTATACACGCTAAGAATTCATTCCTTATACACAACCAACAACCCTGGCAAAAGAAATATAACTCAACATTCGACGTACCAATGGGTAGCTTCGACGGAGCTGAGACATGCGAACTCGTAGCAAGCTACCTCCTTTCTCAACTAAAAAACATCACAACAGACATAGGACTTTATCGAGACGACGGACTTGCCATTTCAAACACCACACCACGAGAAACAGAGAACATTAAAAAGGAAATATGCCGGATATTCAACAACAATGGACTACGCATAACTATTGAAACAAACAAAAAAATCATCGACTTCCTTGACATCACCTTCAATCTTAACAATTTTTCATATCGCCCTTACACAAAACCCAACACTTCTCTGCAATACGTCCACAGCAAAAGCAACCATCCACCAACCATAACGAAGAACATACCCGACGCCATCAACAAACGTCTATCTTCACTATCATCCGACAAAGCATCATTTGACCAAATAACTGCACCATACCAAAAAGCACTCGACGAAAACGGATACCGATACACACTAAAATTCGACTCAGACGCTACTACCAAACGGAAAACAGACTTCGACAAAATATACTTTGGTACAACCCTCTATTCAGCAAAACGTCTACACGAACATTGGCCACAAATTCCTTTCATTAATCGACAAACACTTCCCCATAGACCATAAACTCAGGAAAATATTCAACCGTAACACCATCAAACTCAGCTACAGCTGCATGAACAATATCGAACAAATAATCAACAACCATAACAAACATATACTGAGAACATCAGACAAAACTAACGACAACACCGCGAACAAAAAGACACTTACAAAAACATGCAACTGCCGACAAAAACAAAACTGCCCACTTAACGGAAACTGCCTGCAGTCATCCGTTGTTTACCTAGCTACCGTAAAACGCAAAGACAATAACACAACTGAGACGTACATTGGACTTACAGAAAACGAATTTAAGACTAGACATAGAAATCACACTGCCTCTTTCCACCACAAAAAACTACGAAACTCGACCGAGCTCAGTAAGCACATTTGGACCCTTAAAGACAGCAATATCGACCACGACATCTCATGGAACATCATCACACACAGCAAACCATACAACAGCACCAGGAAAAGATGCAACCTTTGCCTCAAAGAAAAATTCTTCATCCTCTACCAACAATCCAAATCATCCCTCAATAAACGCAACGAACTTGTTTCGTCTTGTTGCCATAGATCCAAAATACACCTATGTAATTTGTAACCATACACCTTAATTAATACTCTAACTTCCGTCATCTTACTTGAAACTATACACCTTGATTAATATACTAACTTCCGTCATCTTGTATATATATTTTAAGCATTTAAAGGGGAACTCCACCCAAAAATAATGTTGGTCTTAAAACTTTGTCTGTCCCATGGAAATAAATATGCGGCAATTTTTTTGTTTGTTTGATTCAATATTTTCACAAAAAATGAGTTGAAATGCTGCAGCTAGGGCATCCGGTGCGTGGGAGAAGAAATTTGTCAGCGGCTTGTATTGACGTGATATCGTCAATTGCTCCTCAAAGCTTTATGTAAAGTCATTGCACAGTCATAATAAACTTGCGTCAAAATGCTTCTCCTAATCACAAAATGTTTCTTTTTGAAACGTCAGAATTTTTTATTCGTAGGTATATACACAAGCAACTTTTATAGCTTATATGCAAGTATTGAGCTGGCCATTATCGCACAGTTTCCGCACTACATATAGAACTTGAATGTCGATTAATATTATTTTTTAAAAAATACGAAGGTTTCTTTGTGTGGAAACTGTGCGTAATGCCGTTTGCTTGTCCTCCGAATTCAACCTTAACAACAGTTTCCACTGATGTGAAACCAATCTATTGCCCTTAATAAACATTGAATAATAATAAACATAGTTGTGTAACTCATTACGGTTAGAAAATAATCCTACATAAAACCATTGTAAAAATAGCCAGTGCTATGAAAAACAAACACCCTCATATTGATCACCAATATGATGTGTGGCATTTGTCTAAATCTGTCACAATAAAACTAACAAAGAAGGTTAACATTAAGGGAAATGATGACTTGACCCATTGGATTAAGTCCATTTCTAATCCTTTTTGGTGGTGCTCTGCAAGTTGTAACAAGAATGCCGAAGAATTGGTGGGAAAATGGAAGTCTGTCCTTAACCACATTTCCAACAAGCATTTCTGGAAGGGGAACACATATTTTCATCAATGTTGCCACCAACAATTAACAGAAAAAGAAACAAAGCAGAAGAAGTGGTAATCTCCTACTTCACAAGCATATATCGCTGCAGAGAAGGTGATATGTGACAAGAGGCTTCTAAAAGACCTGCGGAAGCTATCTGAGTTTTGTCACACAGGAGAGTTGGAGGTTTACCATTCCCTTTTACTGAAATATTGCCCAAAGCGAGAGCATTTTTATTTCCAGGGATTGTAGCCCGCACTCAGTTAGCAGCATTAGATCACAACAACAATATTAAACGTGATAAAGCAGTCATTAAGTCAGGGACAAACAAAGGGCAAGACCGTTACAAAATGATTTTTGCTAAAACACAAAGCAATGGGTTGTAAAAGCAATGAAAGAAAAGAAAGAGTACCAGTACATTGATAAACTACTTGCGGAGGTTGTGAATGCATGCAAAACTGAGGAGATTGAACTTGTACATCATGGCGAGAATCTTCCAAAGAACATTTCTAAATCATGTCCACTAAGGAAAGAAGTACTTGTAAAGGAACATCAGTCTAGATTTGCATAAAATGTCAGTGGTGATGTTAGCTATGGCAATAGGTTTTGCCATACCCATATAATATGACGTTGAATCAGTGAAGACAACTTTTGTACTACTTAAAAAATGTTCATTCTTAAATATTAACATAGCAAAACCATTTGCTATAGCTAGTTTCACCACTGCATTACACAAACTATTCATGTAATTAATTATAGTTATATTATAATCAGTGTAATAGCCAAGCCACATTTATAATCATTTCTTTGTAAATCTGTTTTTTTTGCAATAAATTAATAATAATAAATGTGCATAGCATGACCTATAAATGAGCTGGCTATGCCCGTTTAATATTGACATACAAAGTAATTGTAACGGGTATACCTATATCATAATAAAATACTTCATTCATCAACATAGTGAAAGCCTTCAAATTGAAATTCCTCTGCAAGGCCAGGTGGAGGAAATGTTTCTCTAATGCGAGTAACTGCACATGATGGCAAGATGACTCTCACTTCTCTACCCAAGACACCCCAGCACCACCTTGCCATCTGTCTATATGCAATATGGCGGTACAGTTTTTCTTCAGGCCCATCATATGCTACCTCATATTGCTGCTTGAACTGGTACCAAGCTGTTTGTAAAACCCACCTGTTAAGACAAACAGGCTCAAAAGCAGGATGTTGTGTAATGCACAAAGGGACTTCGGTGGTCTCATTCGTTTCTACTGCCTCTAAATTTTTGTCACAAATATTGGAAATCTCTTTGCAGCATAAACATTCCTCGTTATTATCCATTATTTGGCAGTTACCACATTGACACCTGAATATGTTAAAAGAAAGGATCTTGAAAAGTAAATGTCAAAACTTCAATAAAAATTGTATCTTACAATGAAAACTTTAAAATCTAAAGTATTACGTGTGTGAAGACGTGGTCAACTTCAAAAACTGAAAACGTACTTTTGAGATAGAAACAATGGTCTAGAATAATAGAACATTTTACTACCCACCATTCAAGATTGTCGCGCCGAGATTCATCGTCAATATACAAAAATTCCTCTTCTTCGTTATCCTCAAACTGGTGAGCTGCTTCGTGTTCATCAGCTGGCCATTCGGGCTCAAACTGATATGGCCGAATATTGTTTGTTGGATTGTCTTCCATTTCACTATCGATTGATGAATTAGGCCGAGGTTCTTCCAAAAAAGCCATTATAAGCGATTGTTTTGTTTTTGTGCTAGGCTGTGCGTAATTATTTTACTTTGTTGTAAACACAACTCCAAATCGGTTTGACGATATGACGTCAAAAGAATTTCAGCTGACGCTTTCTGTGCCCACGCTGCTAAGCCTCAAAACAGCTCAAATAGCGCACTTGAAGACGCGATTTTGTCAAAAATAAAATAGCTGATGTAAAAATTTCAAAATATAGTAACCTTTGCATAAAAATGGAACTTTTAAGACCAACATTATTTTTGGGTGGATTTCCCCTTTAAGTATTTTATTCATTAAATCCCCTGAAGAGTGAGCAATCACGAAACAGGCTTGTCGGGATGAAATTGTAGTTTTTGTGTATTTTCCTCTTCTTATCAATATTTACGCTCTGCTCTCGGGCACCGAGCACTGTTTTATACGGAAAATCATAAATTATGAACTTCCTATCATATATATAACTTCATTATCATATATATATATATATACATATATATATATATATGATAATGTAAACGATTCTCTGGATTTGTTTTAAGTTTGTTTTAAATGAATAGAAAAGCATGTGCTATATATATATATAATGTGTAACCATACTTCCTGTGTCCCGGTTATGAACTTCCTATCATATATATAACTTCATTATCATATATATATATATTTCTCCTGCATCTCGCTATGCATTTTGGGATAGGTCAGTAAAAAATTTGGCAGCATGCAACCTAACCCCGAACGAACAACGAATTTATATATGTCCCAAAGCGTGGCATACACAATTGACGAAAGGCCCTCTTCTCTATTGTGTTCTACTGTGTTTTATTGTGTTCTATTTTATTCGTTGTTTCTATGAGAAACGAAGGGGACGAGCGCGAACGCAGGTCCCCACTACCAGAAATTATACGCTCGAGTTACCCACGTTAGGGGTTATCGCAGGAGTCAACCCAGTCGAAGTGCAATGAAAGGGCCTCATCCTGAGAGGACCTCCTAGCTGATCAAGGTGCCTCTCGCGTCAGGTAAGTATGCTCGAACGACGCACGGCGAGCATACTTTTACGCGAACGTACGCTCGGTGCGACACGGTTGCACCCCCTCCCTTTACTTTTTCACTACTTTTTCTCTACTTTTTGCACATGTTATACACTTTGTATATTACGCTCGCTGCGCTTGCGCAGTTTGAGCGCTCTCGGATTGTGTAGAGAGTCTCATAAAGAGACGTTCACCGCATTGGCTTTATGCATTGCTCACCTATATTGGTTTGAGCGCTCTGGTGACTCTACAATACAATCCATACAATGTGTAACCGTACGTCCTGTGTCCCAAGTGCAGGAGTCACCATTTTACTATGGTGATAGCCGGGAGGGCACATTGTTATACACTTTGTATATATATATATATATATATATATATATATATATATATATATATATATATATATATATTGATGAGAAAATACACAAAACTACAATTTCATCCCGACAAGCCTGTTTCGTGATTTCTCACTCTTCAGGGATGAAATTGTAGTTTTTGTGTATTTTCTTTTTCTCATCAATATTTACGCTCTGCTCTTAAGCATCGAGCACTGTACTTACGGAGATTCAAATAAACAAAACTTCCTATATATATATATATATATATATATATATATATATCATAATGTAAACGATTCTCTGGATTTGTTTTAAGTTTGTTTTAAATGAATAGAAAAGCATGTGCTATATATATATATATAATGTGTAACCATACATCCTGTGTCCCGGTTATACAATGTGTAACCGTACATCCTGTGTCCCAAGTGCAGGAGTCACCATTTTACTATGGCGATAGCCGGAGGGCACATTGTTATACACTTTGTATATATATATATATATAATATATAATATATAATATATATATATATATATATGGAATATATAATATATATATATATATATATATATATATATTTGAAAATTGGTAACCCAGGCATATTATGATAATGATAAGGATTCTCTGGATTTGTTTTAAATTTTTATTAAGCTATGAACTCGGTGCTTCAAGCCTACGTCAGAATGTGCAAATATATTATTTACAAGGATTTTTAGACGTTTGGAGCGTCTGATTGGTTGGTTAGTAGTTGAGTTGATATTATTGGATGGTGTAAGATGCATTGTCATGGTTTCGGGTGTATGGATTGCGTTAATGAAATTTGAGTGTTTTATTTTAGTCGTTGTGTTATTAGTTTGTTGTTTTGGTTTTGTCTTTAGTTGTGAATAGATGATGGGGATGTCAATATGTCTGTTTATTGTGTTGTTGTCTTTGCTGTACCATGCCTCTTTGAATTCTCGTGCGTGTTTTGTCTGTGCGCGTCCAAGAAGTTATGTTTTTGTCCAGTCAAATGTGTGGTCGGTATCGCAGGTATGTTCTGCTTGTAGTGATTTTGGCTCGCGTCGTTTGATGGCATTCTTTTGTTCAGTGAGTCTTGTTTCAATTTTCTTGTATGTTTGTCCTATGTACTGTTTGGGACAATCTTTACATTGTATCATGTAGACCGCGTTGGTTGTGTCAAATGTCGTTGTTCGGTCTTTATGTTTAGTGAAGTATGATTTGAGTTTGTGTGTTGGTTTATGTAAGATGTTTATTTTGAATAGTCGGAGTAGTCTTGATGTCATTTCTGATGTTCCGTTTATATATGGTAATGTCACTATTTTTACTGGTTCGTCTGTATCTTCGTAAGTTTTTTCAGTTTGTGGTTTGTTGTGTATTTTGTTTAGTACATTGTTGATAAAGTTTCGTGTGTAATTGTTGTTTTTAAATGTAGAGTATAAGTAGTTGCGTTCATTCTTCTTGGCTTGTTCTGTATTGCAGTGTGTTTTAATCCTGTTAAAGATAGTTCGTATGCAACTAATTTTGTGTTGTGTTGGGTGATTGCTATTGAAGTTGAGTATTTGGTCTTTGTGTGTATTTTTGCGGAATACTTGTGTGTTTAATGTGCCGTCATGTGATCTGGTAAGTAAAATATCTAGGAAGGTAAGTTATTTGCTCTGTTCTTTCTCCATGGTGAAGGTTATGTTCTGTGTGGTGTTGTTTATTGTGTGTAGAATGTGTTCTGTTTTGTCTTTTTCGACGATAGCAAAGATGTCGTCAACAAATCTTCTCCATAGTCTGATGTGTGTGTTGTTGGTGTCTGACTGCTTTTCAAGGTGTTGCATAACAGCTTCATCAAGGAAGGTGGATAAAAAAGAACCCAATGGTGTTCCTGAAATTTGTCAGTAATATGAATTTTGGAAAGTGAATTCATTGGAGAGGCAGAGCTCGAGCGGGTTGATGATATCGTCTTGGTCTAGTTCGGTTGTGATTTTCCATGAATTGTTGTTAGTAAGTAGTTCGTTTGTGACTTTTTTGGCTATGTTTAGTGGTATGGATATAAAAAGTGACACATCGTAAGATATCATGATTTCGTCTGGTTTTAGTTTTACATTTTTAATATTCAAATCTAGACAAATCCCGACTGAGACGATAGACAAATCCCGACTGAGACGATAGTATCAGGTGTCGAGGCTGTCCTAGCGTATCAAAGAGACTTGTCAGAGACAACCACAGACGAGATCAGAAGCAGGATAGCCTCCACTTTACAATCGTCCTCTATACGTGACAACAACTTGACAAAAGACGAACAACAAGCATTCAAACGACTAAAACACGACAACAACATCGTCATTTTACCAGCAGACAAAGGACGCGTGACTGTGGTCATGGACAGGAATGATTACTTTAACAAAATGGACGCACTTGTTAACGACAGACAAACGTACGAACAACTCAAACGACACCCAACACCATCACTAGTACGCAAACTTAACAGCAAGATCTTATCTATGAGAAAATCTAACATTATATCTGAACGTATTTACTATCGACTCAGATGTTCAGTACCACGACCACCCAGACTATACGGACTACCAAAACTTCACAAACCACAAATACCCATGCGACCAATTGTATCAATCTGTGGTTCGCCTACTTACGAACTTTCAAAGTACTTGACTAACATACTGCAACCACTTACAAACAAATCAAAACACAAGCTACAATCCACTGAAACTTTCATTAAAAAACTGTGCACTATACAAATACCGGACAACTATATACTAGTGTCTTTTGATGTGAAATCACTGTTCACCAGTATTCCACTTAATCTGGCACTTACTTGTACAAAAACCCTCATTACAAACACCACGGACGTACTGCCATTACCTACAGAAGACATTATGGAGTTACTAGAGCTCTGCCTCACCTCGACCTATTTCCAATACAAAGGAACACACTACAAACAATTAGATGGGACAGCAATGGGCTCGCCCTTTTCTGTTGTAGTTGCTGAAATTGTAATGCAATCTATAGAGGAACGGGCCCTCATGACTTACAAACATGCACTACCTTTTTGGTTTCGCTACGTAGATGACACAATCACAGCACTACATGCAGACGAGATTGATGACTTCCATACTCACATCAACAAACAGAACAGCCACATACAATTTACCAAAGATGTCGAAGAAAACGGAACTCTTCCTTTTCTCGACTGTTTGGTAAAACATGACAATCAAAAACTAGGAACAACAGTTTATCGCAAGCCAACACATACTGACCGACTACTAAACCAATCATCTTACAACCCTACATCACACAAAGCCACCACAATCAGAACATTAACAAGACGTGCACAAATCATATGTGATTCACCGGACGCTCTACAAAACGAAAACAACTATCTCAAACGTGTTTTGACAAAACAACTATAACTCTGACTTTATCAAACGCAACACTTACAAACCCAACGAACCCAACGAAACGAACAACTCAGTGACAACAGCAACGATACCTTACATCAAAGGTACGTCTGAGACTATCTCGCGTATCTTACGACCATACAACATACGTGTCGCACATAAACCAATCACAACGTTACGACAAGTACGAACGAACATAAAGGACAAAGAACAACCCAACGAACGACAAGGTGCAGTTTGCAAAATAAACTGCTCCGACTGC